TGTGTGTGTGTGTGTGTGTGTCCTTTTGAGACAGGGTCTCACTATGTAGCCCAGGCTGGCCTTGAACTCACTTGGTAGCCTAGGGTGGCCTTGAACTCGCAAGGATCCTGTTGCCTCAGCCTCCCCAGTTTTGTTGTTACAGGCTTATGTCACCATAGCCCGCCTCTGAGTCAATTTTAAAAAGAAACATGCTAGAAAAACCAGCAGAGTATCTCTGTTCTCTAGGGCTGCCATAACCAAACAACTCAGCCATGCAGCTGAAACCACAGAAATCAGTTTTCCAGGCACAGGACCCAAGATGAGTGGGCCCCAGGGGCTGCTTCCCCCTAGGGCCGCTCTGAACTTGTAGATGGCCTCTTTCTCCCACCCACATGGCCTTTTCTCTGTGCGCTGCCTCCCTGCTCGGAGCCTCTCCATCCTCATGCAAGAGCCCCAGGCTTTCAGACTAAAGTTAAACTTAATTGCTTACCCTGTCCCTAACATCTAAGGCAGGGGTGAGGGCTTCAGTGTGGGAATTTTGGTGGGACCCAGTTTAACCCATCACTGTGTAACAAGCAGATCACAGGAAAGGAAACCTGTAAGGCCTTCAAGTGTGTGAAAGGGGTCACACGTGCTATCAGATACATGTCAGTTTGATAGATTTTGGAAGAATAAAAGCTAGAGGAAGTCTTGTTGGTAATACAAGTATAAATTGCCATAACCACATTGGACAATAGTTTTACAGACCTGTAAAGTTGAAGTTAAGTGTTTTGTTTTGTTTTGTTTTGTTTTAAATAGAAGAGCAGTTCTACTTCTAGGTATATACCCAGAGCCTACACACATTGATGTACAGGGAATGTAAGTGAAGGTGGTCACAGCAATGCTTTTTAAAAAAAAAAAATAGCAAATAGTCAACAAAACAAATTTAGGTCTGGGGAGATAGCTTGGCAGTCCAAGCACCTGCCTGGCAAGCACAAGGTGTCAAATTCAGTCCCTGGTGCCATATGCCATGCTGTCCCCAAAACTGGGTGTGGTGGTGCATGCCTGTAATCCCAGCACTGGGGTGGCTGAGACAGGAGGATCACTATGAAATCTAGTGAGACCCTGTACCAAAACAATCAAAAAAACCACAAAAACAAACTTCATCTATGAGTAGAATAAACTAGTTCCTTGTGTACTTGCATGGTTAAGTTTCAAAAGCAAAATTATGAATGAAATACTTTTGTTCTGTTGCAGTACTGGGGACCAAACACATACACGCATGTATACGCATACATAAATGTGCTATTTATGTCAATGTTTAAAGTATAATTCTATGTAGTCCCAGCTCATCTAGGGTGCTGTAACATGTCTTGAAATTTGAGTGAGACAGTGGTAATGGACTGAAGAAATGGCTAGGCATTTCTTTTGGTCTGTGGTTGCTATGAAAAATCTCAGAGACATTAAGATTATCACAAAATGAGGAAATGTGGGGACTTGGTATGTATGATTTAGAGCTCAGTAAAGGATGAAAAAGAGCTGGGAAGAATGCATTCATGTGGGGTTCAGTGTAGTGGTTATCTTGGAGAGGGAAAAGAAAGATCATTAATTTCATAACATTTTATTTCAATTGTCTTATTTTTTAAAAAACAAGTATTAAGGGGCTGAGGAGATGGATCAGTAGAAGGCCTGAGTTCAATCCCTGGTTCTGCAAAAACAAAACAAAACAAAACAAAAACAAAAATAAAACCAAGTATTAAGCTGGGCAGGGTGGCTCATGCCTGTAATCCCAGCACTTGGGAGGCTGAGGCAGGAGGATCACCACAAATTAAATCTCAGCCTGAGCTACATAGCAAGACCAAAAAAAGAAAAAAGAAAAAAGTAATAAAATTGGACAATTTGTCATTGAGAAACAGTATATATTATTGTATTTAAAATAATATTCTAAAATCTCAAGGGCCAGCCTGATAGCTCAGTGGACTAAAGCACCTAGTTAGGCACAGTACAGCGGCTGGGGTTTGATCCCTGGCATGCCGTACCGGCCCCGGGCCTGTCCCCAGAGTGCATGCTGAGACTGTGATTGAGACTGGGGATGGTGGCACACACCTATAATCCCAGCACTTGGGAAGCTGCAAACAGGAGAATCACTATGAATCTGATCTACATAGTGAGACCCTGTACACCCTGTAGACCCTGCCCTAAATACAAGTAAATAAATAAGATCTCGGCTGCTCTGTTTAGCAACTCTGTGGCCTCTGAAAAGTAAGTTAACATCTCTTGTGTGTCACTATCCTTATTTGTAAAAGAGGGATGTAATAGTACCAAGCTTGCCGGATTGTTGTAAGATTAAACAAATTGGTGTGTGTTTGTTATTGTATGTGTTTTTTGTCCTTTTGAAATTTTTAAAATTACAGTACACAAAAACTATTTTGAAGATACTTGTGATTTGTTGTGATGGCATTTGACCAGATTGATATGTAACATGCTCTTTCATAGTCACTTGGACCTTTTTTTTTTTTTTGGCAGAACCGCGGATTGAAATCAGGCCATTGCACTTGTCAAGGAAGTGTTTATTCTACTGAGCCATCTCCCCGGCCATTCATAGTCATTTGGGAGTTCTTTTCCCTGTGTAAAAAGTTGCTTTGTTTTGTTTGCTAATGCAAAACTATGATAAGATCCACACACAAAAAGTTTTCAAAGTTTATTTATTTGTGGTACTAGGGATCAAACTTGGAGCCTTGCACTTGCCAGGCAGGTGCTTATGCCCCTGAAATGTTTTCCCAGCCCCAAAGTTTATTTGTAAATGTAAATATGCTGCCATATTAATTCATGGTCAACTCATTCTTATTTCCTTCTTTCTCCTTCTAATGAGATGCCGACATGGGAAGTTACCCACAAAATACACAGATCCAGCCAGCGAGCACCTGCTTTTCTCCCTTGAGACAATCAGAACCCATTTGCAAGTTTCACTGGATAGCAGCCTTCAACGATGAAATGGCATTTCAAAATCCAGCGGACGGCTTTTCTTACACCGAGAAGCCAGAATTGCAAAGTACTGTATGCAGTTATGCAGAAGACAGCAAGGAAAACCAAGACGCACTTAAGAAAGAAAATTCAGGGGAAGCTAGCCTTTCCACAGCTACAGACCACGAGTGTGTCGCACAACCTGCTAGAAGCCCACGCCACTGCAGTGAAGAGACTCTGAAGTTTATGGAAAAGCCCCTGGCCACACGTACAGCCCTAGGATCTATCCTCAGCCCTAGTTGGCCTCAGAACTTTTTGTATAAAGAAAGCGTCTCTGAAAATGCTGAAGACCCATGTTACAGTGGAAACAGCTTTAACCTGCATGAGCTGAGAGTTAACGGCAAGACAGAGGAGGTGAGATTGCTCGAGGTCATTGAAGCACGTGGGGTATTCAGGTGTGCAGGGCTTAATCTGAGGTCAAGCAGTGTTAAATCGTGAGGGATGTGTGTCCCTGGGGAAAATGTGTTCTGAGATCTTAACCAATTCAGGTACCAGTTTTTCCAATCCAAGTCCATACTTGGTGATCAGCTCCACAAATGGCCGTTATTTCTGTGAGGCGCAGAACTCTGTCTTACTTGTCCTTTGTGTTGCACAGCATCTACTTGATGCCTGAATAAAACACAGATTTCGGGCCAGGGAGATGGCTCAGTGGAATAAGCGCTTCCCTGGCAAGCGCAAGGGTCTGAGTTCAATCCCTGGTTCCGCAAAAAAAAAAAAAAAAAAAAAGACTTTAAAACACAGATTTCATATTAAGCAAAAATAACAGGAATTCATAGGGCAGGGCTGATAGGAGGAAGGCATACAGGTGTACTGATCAAATTGTCTGACAAAGGGAGCCTAAGGTTTTTCTATTCTGTATGATTTCTGTGGGGAAGTGAAGAACACTAACTTTTCTACCTAACTGAAAACATTGTCTTTTGCTGTATTAATTCTGGGCAAACATACAGTATATTAAAAACATGGTAGATATCAACAGTGTAATTTCTAGGCGCTCTATAAATAAAAACAAAAACTGTAGGAATTGTGGACGAAAAAATATAATCCAAAAGAATAGCATAATCATCATCTCAATGAGAATTTATAAGAAAAGTTATAGCTATTATGTTTCATTTATAAGATAAGTTTGTCTTTTGTTCATTTTTTTTGGAAGTAAAGGATAGTGTTTAAATGAGGACTTTATTTTCCCTTATTCCTTTCTGGAAAACAATTTTTTT